ATATATATATATATATGAAGATTTAATTGAGAAAATAAATTTGACAACGCAAGAATGAATCTAGGCCACACATTTTTTCATCTGCCGCTTAAGCACTCCAACGTATCGGGACGAAAGAAAAGATAATACTCATATATGAATAAGTAGTGGCGGATGCAAAAAGAAATATCAAGGGTTACATAGTTTTTTTAAGGGTTGTACTACTAAAAAACTTATTTTTAAAGGTAGATTCCATTATATAATCCATCACTAAAAGGTTTCAATGACATATTTACACTAAATTTAGACTTATTAGGACTTTGTGATGAATTTCCAACAAATTCGTGATCGATTTCTAACATATTTGTGACGGATTTTAACGAATTTACACTAAATTTTACACTCGATGGAAAATTTGAAGGGTTACACGTGCCACCTTGGGACACCAAGTAGGTCCGCCCAGAATAAGGATATTCATATATGGAAAAAAAATATATTTATATATCAATATTACGTAGTGTATTCACGTACGATTATTCATATGTGTATATTCACAAGTGATTATTCATAGTGGTGAATCTTAAATAGAAGATCATGTAGTTCATTAACCAGGTTGAATCGGGGTGGTTCAAGAGTAAATTGGGTTACACTATCAATTCAACAAAAAAAAAAGACGATTCAACATATATAGACCGGTGGTGAGAGAACCTAGCCCAAATAGGTTATTCCTTTTTTTTTTTTAACTAAAACCAACTTAAACTTGGAGTAAATCTAGTCTGAATGTTTGATTGTATGGAATTTTGAATATGAAAGATCTATTTATAATGGAAACCCTACCACTTTTTTTTATTGGAGTGGATGTGAGACTCCTTCATGTCACCAAGTACAACATGCAATCTATTGTCTATAATTATACCTCTTTTTTCCTCCATTTTTTTTGTCCAACACTATTAAGGTAGGTCATTCATATTTTATAATGTAGGTCTTAATACTTTTGTTATATAATTTACTAGGTGTAAAACCTGTGTACTACACAGGTTGATTAAAAAAATTAAATATCAAAATGTAAACAATAAGTATTTTTTAAATAAAATTTTAAAATAAAGAATAAAGAAATGTAATAATTACAATTTACTATTACATTTATTACATTTAATACTTTACATATCTCTATTCTAATAAATGAATAGTTTTAATCTCCTTTTGCCAAATGTCATTCTAATACAACTCTTCATTAATATTATGTCAAGTGTCATGTAGATATATTAGACAACTAGGTGTAAAACCCGTGTATTATATGGGTTGATTAAAAAAATAAAATATTAAAATGTAAATAATAAGTATTTTTTAAAATAGAATTTTAAATAAGGAATGAAGAAACATATTAATTGCAATTTAGTATAATATTTATTACATTTGATACTTTACATATATAACTATAAGTATTATGTGGCTTTTTAATTTTAAAAATTAGAAAAAACCATAAACTAACATGTGGATATTATTTATTTGAAAATTATCACAAAATAACAAGTGTCAAAACTCATTAGAGAATGACATGTGGTAAAAAAGTTCTTTATTTATTAAGAAGAATTCATTTCAAAATTCAAATTTACATTTTCTAATTATATGTTAAATTTGAAGTTATAATAAATTTACAAATTTGATATATCTCTTAATTAATAATTTAATTAAAATAATTGATTAATAATTATAAATTTTTATTATGAAAGTTTAATTAATTTTATAACCTGTGATTCCCACGGGTTATAAACTAGTATAAGTATATAAGTATCATGTGACTTTTTAATTTTAAAATTTGAAAAAGAGAAATTAAATATCCTCATGCTTTTCTTCATAATTATCTTCCTACTTATTTGAAATGACGACAAGTGTCAAAAAATATAATTAATTTTATCAAAATATGACACATGTCATCATTTCATATGGATAGGAAGAAAAGATAGAATGGTATTTAATTTCTCTTTGAAAAAACCCCAAAATTGACATGTGAATATTATTTATTTTTAAAAATATTACAAAATGACAACTATCAAAACTCATGAGAGATTAACATATGACTAGGGATGAGCATTTGGACCGGGGAACCGGTACCACAACCATAACCGGATAGAACCGATCGGCCTGGGACAGAGACGATATTCTTGTTGATTTTTGGAACGGGGAACTGGAACCGATAAAACCAACAAAAACTGGTAGAACCGGCAAAAACCGGAACCGTATGTTGCTATTTCTCGAGGACCGGTTCCAAAATTGAAGACACGACAAGAACCGATAGGAACCGGAACCGGTAGAACCGGCGGTTCGGTTCGGTTCCTATTTTCCACAAAGTTCGATTCCCAGACCGGTTCCGATGCTCATCCCTACATGTGAAAAAATGGATCTTCATTTATTATAGTAGATAGTAAGACTTAAAATTTAGTTGGGTCAAAGGACCCACATTGGCATATAGTAAACTCACATTTTTCATATATGATTATGGCGGTAGGTGGTGATGGTAGATGTAGCGGTGGCGGTGGCAGTGATGGTAGTAGTATTGGTGGTGGTGGTAGAGGCGGCAGTGGAGGCGAGGGTGGTGGTGATGGAAATGTCGGTGGGTAATGAAGGTGTTGGTGGCGATGACAGTGGCGGTAGAGATAGAAGAAAATGTGGCGGTGATGGAGGAAAGAGAAGGTGGTGGTGTTGATACGTAATATTCATATATGAATATACTTAACTTTATATTCAGATATAAATATTACATCTCCCCGACATGCCAGTACGCTAGAGCGTTTTGCGACAATGAATAAATGTGTTGTCCATATTCATTTATCATATTCTCAACTTTTTTTTTCAAATGAATTTACATCTCTCTCTCAACTCACAAACACACACACACACACACACACACATATATATATATATATTAATATATATATATATATTATATATATATATATATATATATAGAGGAGAGAGAGAGAGAGAAAAAAGAGAGAGAGAGAGATGTAAGTTTATTTGAGAAAAAAATGTTCAAAATGCGAGAATGAATTTAGGCAGACATTTATTCATTGCCGCAAAAGCACTACGGCGAACCGACACGATAGGGAGATGTAATGTTCATATGTAATATAAAATTAAGTATATTCATATATGAATATTACGTAGCAACGTCACCACCTTCCATCTGCTCTGTCGACACGATACGTTAGAACATTTAAGCGGTAGAAAAAATATATGGTCCAACTTTCATTCTCGCGTGTTTAACGTTATTTTTTCTCAATTCAATATCATTCATATATAAATATAACATATATAAACTCTTTACAATTTACATCAACTCTCGTCACATGTTATAATCACATATGAATAAAACGTATATTAGTCTTCCTCACAAGTTATATTCATATATGAAAAACACATTTAATATAATTTTGTTACGGTTTATTTTGTTATTCATATATGAATAAGTAGTTCAAAATTTTAAAGCACGCCATCTTTTATTAACATACTACTTATTCATATTTGAATAACAAATGAACTATAACAAAAATCTGATAAATTTTTTATTTATATATGAATATAACATATGACGACCATTAATACACATTTTATTCATATATAATAATAACGTATGACGAAAGATGATGTAAAAAAAATATATTTTAGGTAAAAAAAGTTTTATTACGTGTTATATTTATATATGAATGATACTTAAACTGTAAAAAAGTTCAACATACATTTTATTCATAAATGAATAACGAATGTACTGTAATGAAAATCTGATCGATTTTTATTCACTTATGAATAACGAGAGTTGAAACTCTAAAAAAACAAAAAAAAAATTATTTTATCTTAAAACTATATCAATATAGATGTCTATTTATAAAGAATAAAAAATTATGAATTTTGATATATTTAAAATAATTTTTTGATAAAAATAGTTTTCGAAAAATAAAAAAAACAAAAAAATAAAAAGTTTTTGTGTATATTAAGGTAATGATTAATTAACATAGTTTAAGGAAACATATTTTGTTTGGAAAACACATGTGTATCCGTTATCTATTTCCGTCGGTACGCCTAAGTGTTTTGCGGTAAAACAAATATCTGACTAAGAATGATTCCCTTATTCTCAATCTTTTTTTCTCAATTGAACCTAGGGCTGTCAAATCGGGTAGTCGTGTCGTGTTTTTGTTTGACACGACACGACAATGTTTTGTATAACACGAACGGGACACGACACGATGTCGTGTTTTTTTTCATTAGCACGAAAACGAACCAATTAAAACACGACAACACGACATGACACGACGAAGATAATATTACATGACTATTAGTTTATTTCATTAATACTTAAAGATATATAACACGGCAAAAACAAAAAACATGAAAAACACGACAACCACATGCTTGATCGTGTCAATTTCGTGTGGATTTATGAACACAACACACGACACGACACGACATCGTGTTTTTTAATTTTGATACGAACACGACACGAACACGAATTCAAATTTTAATTTCGTCCATATTTCGTTTCGTTTCGTGTATTTTTGTCGTGTCGTGTTATAAATTGACCCCTAATGAAACCCTCATTTCTCTCTCTCTCTATATATATATAAGAATAATATATATATAATATATATATATATATATATATATATATATATAATAATATATATATATTCTTGATTATGAGAAAATATATAATCTACAGTAATTGTCACTATGATTCATTCAAAATTCTGTGATCTCCAAACTATCTCGAGATCATAGGCAACATCGGTGATTGATAATTTAATGAAACTATACACATGGGGTTGGACACGATTGTTAATGTAAACACCTTAAACAATTGCATTTACAAACAATTTGGTCCCCGATTTTGATGATTTTAAGAATGCATGTAAATTTACAAAATACAAACCATAATTTAATCTGAATAATTTTGAACCGCGAATTTGGCTTGAGATTCAGTCTATATATAGACCTAAACAAAGCTGCATTTCATTCTCTTCTTCCGAAATTCTTGAAACAGACATACTCATACAAAAAGAAAAAGGGTAAAAAAAGTCGACAATGATGTCTTTAAGGTTGATTACTATAAGTTCGTTACTCCTATTCGTCATTGCAAGCACACTATTCACTGGATTTCGTTGCAAAGGTGCGTGCGAGTGTCTTCTATCTTCCTTCATTATTCTTCGTTTTTCATGGTTCTTGTTTTATCGTCATTACCGGGCAATGGGCATGCGTGCTTTTAATTCAAAAAAAAAAAAAAAATTAAGTTCTATAACTGCAGAATAGTGCAAAGATGGCAATTTGTTATGCAGCTTAATTAGCTCATACAATTTCTCTGCATTTAGTGTTAGAGATATTGTATTCGAAGTTGGAGACCTCCATGTTATCAACGTTAGAAAATATTGCATTCCATTCTCCAACATAAGAATGCAATATTTGCAGCGTTGATTGTTTTATACTCTTCCTGCAGCATGTATAGTTTTTCTTTTTTTAGTACGTAGATCCTTTTTTTTTCTATTTAAAAAAGGTAGGTAAATCTCATTTATCTCCTATCCACACACGTAGAATACACAAAACCTACTTCTAATTAACAGGTCTGATGTTCATCTATAATCTCTATCTCTATGTATAATAATATAACTTTTATATTGAATATTCCATTTTAGGTGGAAATAATGCTGGATTCATTGCTGTTTCAGATGTAGAGGTACAATATTACTCACATTAATGTTTTCTTCACTCTGTATAATCTTCTTAATTCGGTAAAAGTAGAAGCTTCGGACACTTATGAAGAATATGATGCATATAGGTACGCCCCAAGAGTGTGTACGTTGTTGCTGCAGCAGCAGCAGCAAGAGAAAAGACAATGAAAGGCCGAAAATTGGTGGTCGACAGAGCAATTAAGCTACACCCGAAGGCGAAAAAAAATGTTATGCCAACAGGAAAGCATACAAGTTTTACGAGAATAGGCCTTTCTAGAAACAAAAATGTGAATTTTGTTGCTTTCACTGAAGATTACCATCAACCAAGGCATCACCCACCAAAGAATAACTAAGCAATTATTAGTTTTTACATATTTCATTTTTCGATTTTGTAATTTTGACTTTTTTTTATGAAGCAGGCAGTTTATCAAGTTCTTTACCAAAAGATTTGAGTCGACACTTGCTTTACATAAAAAAAGTTAAAAATGAAAAATGAAGATGATGTAAACGGATATACATATCTGCTGAATTTTGAGCTTGACAAAAAGGAAATCTTTTTAGTTAATCAATATGTTCTCTTCATAGTTTTGTTTATGTTCTTTTCCGCTATGTTGTACTTTTGTGGTTTTGTAAAAGAAGTGGATGTAAGAATGATGATAAATCTTATATATTTTGATCTTTACATGTATGATTCAAGGAAGTAATCAACGAGTTTAATAAGCAAGAATCTTGAAACCAATTGATGTTTGTTAAATTTGGCCGTTAACAATGTGTGTAGAATGCATGGAGTAAAGAAAGCAGTAATTAGTGTAAGGAACAATAGCAAAATGTGTCGCCCTGAGTATTAACCCTAAGATTAATTTAAGCCATAGGTGGCCCTAGGGGTAGGGGTGGCAAATCGGGTCATCGTGTCGTGTTTTTGTCTGACACGACACGACACGGCAATGTTTTTTGTAACACGACACGACACGATGTCTTGTTTTTTTTATTTAACACGAAAACGATCTGATTAAAAAACAACAAACATGACACGACACGACAAATATAACATAATAAAAAAAATTACTTTATTTAATTAATATTTCATCATACATAACACGAAAAACACGAAAAACACGAAAAACACGACAAATAAATGCTAAATCGTGTCAATTTCGTGTCGAATTTTGAACACGAACACAACACGACACGGCATCGTGTTTTTTATATTTAACACGACACGAACACGAATTCAAATTTCAATTTCGTCACAATTTCGTTTCGTCCCGAGCTGCATAACAAATTGCCATCTTTGCCCTAACGTGTAACAATTTAAATTATATAAACTAAAATATTTTTAAAACGACGATAAACTTTATAACAATAAACATAATATGTTTTAACATATGATTTTAAAGAAAAAATATCAAAGAATCTGGTTTTAAGTTTGCATTTAATTTTATTTAAAATGGTTATTGTGCAAATTCCATTCAAGCTTATTCATACACAGCCATAGAAACCCTACCCCAATTGGCAAATAGCCTCGTGATCATGATAACAATTCAACAAATACTCATTGACCTTTCTCTTATGACTTGTATGATAATATAAAGTGTCAAAAACAACACGATAATAATAAATAGGTATAACTTTACCGGTAATTACTTATTGCATAAGAAATTTATATAAGACCTAAAGTGAATTAACTTCACGTTTTTTATAAAATGAAGTATAAGATTCAAAATATGTAAATACATTTTAATTTTTAAGCAACTTCTAACCCTTATACCTAATTTTTTATTTATATTGTGTAAAGCTCTTTATCTTGTCTATAAATTACTATCCAAAATTAACTCATTTTTATATAAAACAGCAAAAATTGACAACTATATCTCAAACATCCACAATATTAAATTCAAACAATCAAACAATACAACTAACATAACAAGGACTGATAATGCCATATAGCTTAAATATAAGGATTAGTTATGCACATTTTTTTTTCTAACTACTACTGTTGCTCCAATTTTTGAAGTAAGGTGAAAAGAGACGCCATGAGTCAACCAAACTTCACCAAAAGTCTCGAAAATGGATTTCTTTAAGGGAAGCATCTCATCTCCCTGCAAAAATAAATAGAAAACAACTACAAAATACTCTTTTCTCTTTCTCATCTGTTTTGATTCTTTTCAAAAACAAAAAATCTATCTACAATCAAGCAAACTAAGGTGGAAGATGTAAATTGGAGGTTGGTGGTGAAATTGGAAAGCTGAAACATATCGATTTTTGAGTTAGAGATCCGAAGGAAAAGGAGATTTGCAGCAAATCCAAGGATTATTGTTGTTGTTAGCTGAACAACCCAGATTTAATTCAGATTTTCTTGAAGATATGTATTTGTAGGGTTTTTATGCCAGAAAAAGCTAATAAGCTTCGTTTGTGATCTGCAGTTCTGCACTAGTCCTTCTCTTGTTAGGCCGCTGTATATAATATATTAATAAAAACATGCGCCCCAAAAAAAAATGGGACCTGTGCAATTGTCCTTTTTGCCCATGCTCTAATCTGGCCCTGCCGATTTGCCACCCCTAGGTGGCCCGTCGTTCTTCAAAAACGGCAAATGGGATGAACACCACCAAATCTTGAATGCTTTTTTGAACTGCTCTCGACAATAACGATCTATAAAGAAACAACATCGAAGTTGAATATGACAAGTAACTCATTTCTAACTGATTGCAACTTTAGATTCCATGATGAACACGTCATCAAGTGTAACCATAATACTCCGCACTAGACTCGGAAACAATAAGCCTTCCACGTCAAATTGAGTACTACAAAAGTTTTCTCAACTTCTTGATCTCTGCCATGCTTTTCGTCACTACTAGCATGACATCCATCCTATAATTGTGAGTAATTGGGTTAATATCATTCTTACCCAACAAACTTTTCATTTTTTTATTCATTTAGCCCTAATAACTTTTTTGTGTGTTGTAGCCCTTTAAAGATAACCTCTTAACTCTACGTGGTTTATAGGTTCTCAAGCTTACTTGGCAACCTACATAACATATTTAGATTCAGCTTAACAACATCGCTACATATCCACTTGGACTACATTGCCTTTTAATTTTATTATTCTTCAAAATAATTATTGTTTTAGTAAACTATAAATTTAGTCATTATGGCTTGCTGAAAACTGTAGATAAAGTGCACAAAAAATTTCCAATTTGCAACATTGGTACAAAACTATATGTTTTGTGGATTTGGTTCATATAGTTTGGTGATTATTGTGGATTTGGTTTATAATACTTATTTTAGAATTTTTATTCGATTTTAGTTATAAATTACTAGGTGTGAGATCTGTGTATTACACAGGTTTATTAAAAGGACCAAAAGTGACGATGTGAGCACAACATATCATTCACGCAAGTTCTGGTAACCACAAAGACCCATCTTCATAAATAAAAAAAATAAGTAACGACTGAGTTTGTGACTTTTGGTAACCCGCATGGACTATTTATGTAATTTGGTCTTAATTAATTTATACTAATAAAATTAATTAATATGAATTCACAAATGGAATGTACTATCTACATTAATATACATATACATTAATTAATATATCAATGGAAAGAAGAATTCACAATTAGAAAGTTATTTTGTACATTAATTAATATATTTATAAAATTAATTAATATGAGGTGACATTTAATAGGTGAAATTTAAATAAAAAAGAAAAAAACTATAAAAATGACAAGTGGATATTAAATAATTCCAAAAAATCTAGAAAATGACAAGTGTTAAAATAAAGGAGAAGATGACATATGACAAAATCATTCTTATTTATTAGGGTAGAAAATTATTATTTCATTTTGGCCCCACCCCCACCCCCATATATCATTCTTCCTCCTACCGGATGAAAATCTCTCTCTCTCTCTCTCTCTCTCTCTCTCTCGCATTGTGCATTGGTTACTAGAAAACAGACTGTATTTTTGTTTAGAACAATATATGTAAGTTCACATTCCTATCATCTTCACACCACTTAAATAATCCTAAACCTAACTAATGTCGAATTTTGATATATCTCAAACAACATCAAACCAAAATCATAACCTAAAATAAAAAATTTAATATGTTGAACAACACAATATTAATGGTTTATGTTTTTTTTCCTGATAAAACGATAGCCACTAAAACTACACACCAAGATGGGATTCGTTTTAGTGGCGAATCTAGACCAAAAAGTCATGTGGTTCCCAAATTAAGTGAAGCCACTAGAAAATCAACAACACTTGTGTGAGGTTGGGTCGGGTCGGATCGTGTACCTTAAAAAAACTGGACCAATCAGTTCAACCTATTAAAACCGATCATGCACCACCGATTAAAAATTTTAAAAAACCGATTGAAATATAAATGACAAAAACCGTACGTTTTAATGAAAAACTAGTTGATTATTAGTCCATTGATAAAGCGGTGAACGGAGAGTGAGAGTCTTTGGCATGTGGGCTTCTTTTTATCAGAGCGATTTATTTATTTATTGATATTTTGAGAGTGCCGATTAAGAGTGGTTAATTTTTTGTTATTAATCTCATAATTTAAAATAACAAATTGACCCAAGTAATTTATTTTTTTCTCCTTTTAAAATGATTTTTTAGACATTTTTTAAAAAACAAACTCAAGGTAGGTCATTTATTTTTTCTAAGATAGTTCCTAATTTTTGTAGGATATATATTGTAAATGAAATTGAAAATTTAGGTAGGTCCTAGGACCTACCTTGTGTCTTGGTAGATACGCCCTTGATTCGTTTCAAACAAAAATCATACGTGAGCAATGGTGGCAATAAAACCCACAATTATAAACAACATTCGATGTGAGTTTCCTAGTTATTTTACAACATGTTTGGTTTTTATTTAATAATACATACATTCACGGTCTCAATTTGTGCATAGAGTAGAGGCTCTGTCACCACCCATGTAATCTATCATTGACAAACGTGACACAACAATGTTTGTGCTACGAACGAATGAGATATGGGGTTGATGATAATAAAGGGAAGGACCTTTTGGCTGGACGAGGGAGGAAGATGTTACTGGTGTATGTGATGAGGATGGGTTGGTTGGTCACAAAGGTGTTATAACTTAAGCATTTCAACAAACAATTCAAATGATTTTACACATGACATTTAACGTGGTTACCACAATACGAGTGACCGACTTTATCAATAGGAGAACACGAGAGAGAGGGAGATTTTATTTTTGAATGCTAAATTACAATTTTAATATCTAACTTAGCTTGGGCTACACAAATTTAGGAAATCTATTTATAGGAACACAATGACCTAAAATATATTAATATGGCTAACCCCGAAAACTGTGATAAATTTGGCTTATGACTCATTTTGATGCCAAAACTTATAAAGGAACTAGCCCACATAAAAATTTATTTTGGGGCGGTT